GCACTTGTTACTAGAAGCGATGCACTTGTTACTAATAGCTTCTTGTTTCTAATAACTTCTTGTTACTACTAGTAAGGCACTTGTTACTAGAAGCTTCTTGTTACTAACAGCTTGCAACTAAGTGTGTACCAACTTTGGATTCATGGGATTGAACGAAGATCACAACCCAGTCCGGAACAATCTAAGACCATTCACTGGCATCACCTAAGGCACGACTCCGCATTGATTGATGTACAATACGTGTCCTGATATGTGCCAATCCCCGAACACAAACATGCATTGGATTTGATCTCAATTCCAGGTTCAATCCCAAGTCTGTGGGTAGTACACTTTGACATGAATTGCATCCAAGTCCTTGTATCGTGTGAACGAAGGAGTGCAAATTTCAACACCAGCGGCAAAGTACTCGTAGTATCTTGACATCACCTGAGGCCGACGACACTCACAGCTAAACTGAAGGAGCAGACTGTTTGCTTGCAGAGTTCTCAAATTAGAGGTATCTTCAGAGCAAAGTGCAGATTCTCCACCTGATGCTGCTAGCTGCTGACAGAACACATCTAGAACAAACCAAGCTTCCCTCTCTGCCTGACTAGCCCAGCCTTGGAGAGGTCGACGCCGTCTTGGAGCTGATAGAAAATGCCTTCAGAGGTGAGGTGGAAGACGCATTGATACCGTGAAGATCCCGCGAAGCTTTTTGCTAGTAGTAAGGTGCCTTGTTACTAGTAGCTTCTTGTTACTAGCAGTAAGGCCAGGTGCCCCAAGTAGCGTCCTTGCTCCTAGTAGCGATGCCCTTTGCTCCTAGTAGCTTCTTGTTCTTATTCAAAAGGAACAGGAATTGCTCTCTTTTGAGCAGAGGCGACGCCATGAAGGAGACTCTCCATCTATGGGTCCTGTAGGTAGTAACAGCATCAGCACCCTCATCAAGCGGCCTTTGTTCTCACAGGCTAAGCGCTTGGTGATGGTGGCATCAGCGCCAGAACCAAGAGCATACGTGAACACGGCAACACCTTGGCAGGTGAAAAAAGCTAAAAACACCAAAAGAACACAAAAGTCTACAATCGACAAGTAAGAGATGAAAAAGGATGGTTTAGTGCTCTTATTAAAGGAGCCCGAAAGCTTCCTCTGTTTCATCTCCTAGACATATTATACTTTTCTTAGGTCCTTGAGACTGATACGCAGTGTACGGAGTAAGATGGAAAGAGTCACCGGGAATGTTTCACCTTGGACCTTTTGGGCTGTCGTTGATCTATTGTTGCAGGTTCATGCCAAGGCTCTGAGCTGTTCGGCCTGTCTGCGGGTCCTTAGAACTCGGTTGTGCAAAACGGAAGGCGTGAAGAAAATGTCTGCCCCAAAGCGCAAAGTGAAAAGCCTTACCCGGTCAATGGAGAAGTCACTAGAAACCAGAACCATCATTGTTCACCGAACTAGTTGGGCTGGACTTTTGCCAATCAATAAAGTTTCAGCACCCAGCAAGTGCTTCTCCAAACCCTGCGATGGCCTCCAACCTACTTGCGATGGCCTCCAACCTAAGAGCAAAGGGAAGTCTCCAGGCAAAGTCCCCGTCCGAAAACTCCGCTTCGCCATCCGTCAAGAACAGGATGGCCTGCGGAAACAGAGACTTGGACCGCGACCGGCCGAAGCCGCCCGAACCCGCCCGAACCAGCCGCCGCTGCTGGGAACCGAATCGAAAAGTTTGCGGCGTCCAATGGACCGGGGGGAACCAAGTTTGGAGTTCGGCGCTACTGGGGCTGCAGTATGAGGAATACCCCTTTCTGCGATGGCCTCCAACCTAGTAGCGTCCTTGTTCCCTGTTTCAAAAGGTCTAAAATCGTACGTTGCCACTATGTGCGTTCCCCTGAGATTCTGCAGATCCTATACCTCCAAACTCCACAAGTGATCCAAAGGCAGAGTTCAAGGAGAGTGGGTATCAGATTCAATATCTCGAATTGTCAATCTGCAAGGCCAAGGACAAGGGCATTTCTTCAATCCGGCCTTTTGGCACATTGAAGTGTCGCCTGAACTGACGCTCCTGCTGATGACCTGCAAAACGGTGTTCAAAAGAGCCTTGAGGGAGGTGTGTGTGCATGTGAATGTGCAAGCCCAGTGCTGCGGGTTCAGAAGTGACGTCATTCGCGTTTTGGCATGGACCACCCCAACACATGTTTCGGGCAACAATGCAGCCCACTGTGCAAGTGTTCATCCAAAGTAAGTGCTATTGAAACTGGCCACTCAGTTCTCTTGACGCAAGCTCTGCGTGGTTCGAAAATCTGGACTCTAGGTATCACCATCCATCACAAGCTCGCTTTGGGTGTCGCCAGGCTGCATCGAAAGCAGCTTCCAAGGCTGCCTTGAAGTTTGTCCCACCACTTGCCTTGGGAATCACCCCGACCCGCCCAACCCCGAGATCTGCCGGAAAGAAGGTCGAACCCGTGGAAGGTTGCTTCGGTCGCCCAAGGGTCGTCTAAAGGTCGCCCTAATGCGACCAGCTACGACGGGCGGACGGCACCTGGCTGCCGCCCTAGAGCCGTAGTAGTGTCCTTGCTCCTAGTAGCGATGCCCTTTGCTCCTAGTAGCGAACCTTGCTCCTAGTAGTAAGGCCAGGAGCCCCTATAGTAGCGTCCTTGCTCCTAATAGCAATGGCCTCTGTTCGTGTTTTTGTTCTTTACTTTTCGCTGACACATCTCTCAATTGGGGTGGCAGGTGAATCAAGAGCACTGAAATTACAAGTCCGCAGCACCGAAGATAGAATAGTTATTGCCAGAAAGCCAAGCTGGGTGTTTTCTGCGTATCTAATTTGACACTATGTCTCAAAGGTCTACTGGTCATTGCTAAACTGCTTCTTGGCGTCAAACTGCTGATTCTCCAGCCATGACTTCGCAGCTTTTCCTGAGAAATATGTCAGTGCTCACTGAAATGATATCGTGCTGGGCACACACTGGCTTCAAGGTGTTTCAGGCCTCGAAGAGAGTCCAAGAGAAACTAGTAAAGACAAGAAATGCACAACAGAAAACCTTAGTAGAGGCCATCATAGAAATTGTCTTATTTTGATCCTCCCAAGAGAACAGTGCTTGGAGCCCCCGAACGTCCAAAAGAGTTCACGGGACAAGCAAAGGCAATAGATCAGGATTTGAATCATTGGATCGATGCTGATGGGTTTCGCCTCTCATCAAACATTGGCACCAGCCGTTCGGAGGAAAACTGAGCCTTGGATGCACTGCAAACACTTGCAAACTCGTCGAGGTATGAGGGGAGCTGCAAACGTGGAGTGTTTGGCAGCTTGCAAAGCGTAGGAAAAAGGTGCCTGGCAAGAACCGTCAAAGGACCTTCATGTTCTTCAAATCACTCTGCTGGGAGGGACGATTCTATTCAGAGGCAATCCTCCATTTTCATGCTTTTGATCGTGACAGCAGAAATCCACACGAAGGCACCGCGTCATTCATCGAAGCATACGTTACACGTCAGCACAGCTTAGCAAGCACTTGAAATTCGCGTTCGCGGGGGGCCTTTCTTGCTTTACGGTTTCTTCTTCAAGGGCCTAATGAATGATCCCCAATCAACTCAATACGTTGATTTCTTTTTGGAAGATGATGCCATAGCAGCCATCACTGAAACATTGGTGATTGCAATGGATGAACCCACAGATGCCTACGGGCGCCGAACACCTAGTCTAGGATTAGGAGTGTATTCGTCGGTTTACTTCGTTCGCCAATCCCCGTTATCGGCTGGCTTTCGCAAAATTTGTCCACCACAAGATTCACACATAACATCGTATAACCAATCTTACTACAATGCTCTGCGCCATTTGTGGCCCTTGTCGCGGGGCCGCGGTGGACGGGACTTATGTGTGAACAGCTCCGCTCCAGGCGTGCAGCCTCTGCCACCTTCCCTTTCTTCGTTCGCATGGCAATGGCAACCTAAATTTTTTGGGATGATTTTTTTTTTCAACCTAGACTGTTTGGTCAAGTCGGGCTCATGAACTCAATGGGCATGCGAGGCGCCGCCTGTCCACACATTGGACCTCCAGGCTGCACAAGCGCAGCCTTCAAGCACGCCTAGTTTTCTTTGTCACGCGTGGGCTGTGGCGCCCTAAGGCCCAAGCGCGTCCAAACTTGTGCTTCGAACTGCTATGTCTCACCATACCCTTCCAAACATGGATTCTGACAGTCAGACTCGGGCTTTGAAAAGGCCCACGAGGACTGGGACTGGGGGACATGCGGACAAGCTTGAGTAGCGCAAGACACAGCAGCTGCAGTGCCGTTGCGCCGGTCCATGGTCTGGTCAAAAGCTAGGACCGAAAAGGCCGAGACAGATCGTTGCATGTGCGAATCTGTCGTCTCGCCGTGAGCTGCTTCAAAACAGCCGCGGCCGCATCCACCAATGAACGAGGGAGTCGAAGTCGAACTCCGGACACTGGGTAAGTGATTCCAAGACCAAGCCTATTGAGACCATCAATCCACGGAAGCTCCAACTCGAAGTAGCTAGAGAAACGACGAAAAAGGGTACGAACAAACCTAACCCGAACAGCGATCGTCAGGGAAGAACGAGTAACACCACCATCACACGGAGGTACCCAGCGTCCCGCCTCGGATGAAAGCATTGGATGGATCAAAGGAGATTCAAAAATCACAGCTGCAATCTCGATCCAGGAAAGTTCGAAACTGCCTGTGGCTGTGCTGTCATGGTGCTGAAACCACTCCAAAATCTGTACACCGAGCTGGGCACCAAGACACGAGTTGTCTCGAAGCCAGGTATTCTGCCAAGACAAAGGTAAAAGATCAAAATTAGAAGGACCTTGCTCCTCAAGGCTAGCACTCACTTCTTCTTCAGGCTCATACTCAGGTCCCACATCCGAGGCGCCTGACCCACGGAGTTCATACCGAAGTCGTGCAAGGTCAAGGTGCAGGGATTGCAGCAAAACCACATCCTTGCGTTGAAGCTCTAGTTCCTCCACATACTGCCGCCACAGCCGGCGGAAATGTAGCGGTCGTTGTTCCTGAGCAGTCGCTGCTTGACGGTCAGCTATGGCATTCCAATGAGCCAGCCAGGATGTAACCTCATCATCCTGTTGAGTGCTCATATGCCCCGGTGTATGGCATACCATGAAACTGACATTGCTGTAGGTAGTCGAGGCTTGCGCAATCTGCCGCCATAGGTCCTGATTCGAACCATCAGGAACATCAAACCGGTCTTGTCGAAGGCGATGAAAGCCAGCAGCAACATAGGCGCTATCTGTCCATAAAGTGACCGCTCGTGCCCAAGCAGTAGCCCATCGCACCGCCGCCCAAGCCGCCATGAGCTCAGAGCGGTTGGTAGTTTGTAGAAGACCGTGCAGAGGCCCTGAAGCCAGGCACAACTGGTGGGTCGCCGAAATGAGCGACCAAGCCCCAAGGGACCGTGCAGGGTCCGTGGGGTGAAGGCAACTTCCATCAGAAAACAAATCAACATGTTCTTCTTCAAAACGATGAAGCATGAAACAACCAGAAAAATCTTCTAAGGAAATCAAAGCCTTCTTGACCTGTGGCCAGTGAACCAATCTGCTGGGTAAAAGATGATGTGTCAAGCTCCTTGGAAGGTCAGGCCATCTAGCAATGATGGCAGAATGTGGAGCCCGCGCGGCAGCCAAACGAGGACATTCAAGGCACAGGTGCTCCATGCTGTCCATTTGACCACATAAATCACACCGTGATGTCTTGGTCAGGTCAAACTTATGGATCATATCGTTGGTCATGAAGGAGCCATCACATAAAGCATGAAGCTGTGCTCTCTGCACCGGAGAGCAAGAGGATCCCAATGATGGTGTTGCCCAGTGAAGACCAGTCAAACCAGCAAAGTCTTTGCGACCCCCTATACTGCGAGCAATATATTGATGCCACGCATCAATAAGAAGAGAGTCAAGCAGCTTGGTGGGTATCTCCAGCAAATTCCACTCGCAGCCATCATGATCCACAAAGAAGGGTGGCTGAGAGACGTGCCATCGTACAAGGTCCATTTGCTCCAGAAGCTTGCTGAAAGGTCCTGAGAACCAAGTGCCATCATAGTGCTCCATAAAGCGCAACCAAAGTTCTACCAGGGCGTCGTCCTTGGAAAGAAAGCGTTGGAAGTCATGGAAAACACGATGCAGTTGGTAAAAACCAGGGTCCAACATTGGAGAGCGCCCAAGCAGGCTAAGCCGAATGAGCGGTTGAGAGCCGGCCTGATGCCATCCAAGGGCCTTACAGGCTTGTGTACGGAGGGCTCGTACATGTGTATCAGACAACAACGTGATGCCAATAGCATGGAAAGCCCGTGGCCATAGTGCCATGTAAATGAGCTGCTGTTTTTGACCAACATCCATGGGACATTTGCGCAAAGATTGCCAATGAGGGAGTAGCTGCTGAATACGGTGGAGCTGTGTTCCCGCAGCACGTCGCCGACAGTACATCATGGCCCCACCAAGATCAGCAGCCTGCAGTCGTACCGTGAGACCCGTACGACGGAGAAGTTCCCGGTCGGTCGATTGCACTGCCCAGAAGAAGGTTTTGGCAGAATCCAGCTCTAAACCCCACAGACTAAGATAGCTCTGAAGTGTCGCGGCTCCCTGAAAAAGATGACTTAGCTGAGTGGAGACCAAGTCAAAGTTGTCGACAAAGCTGAAAGATCGACAATTGGGCACGTACCGTTGGTGGTAGATGTCATAGACCCAATCAACTATAGTCATGCCCAGTACTGACAGTCCGCATCCCTCAGGTAGTCCAGCACTTGAGCTCAAGGCATCTCCAAGTTGGCCATGAAGGACAAAATGCCGCTGAAAGTTATCCAGAAAAGACTGCCAAGGCCGCAACAGCGAATCTGGAATGCCCAGAATACGGCAGACCTCAATCAGTGGGTGACAAGGCACGTTCTCAAAGGCTTTGATGATATCTCCCACGCAACCTGCCAGTGCAGAACGCTCCTGTAGTGCAACTTCAACCAATGCTTGGATATAGTGCCAGAGCTGTCCTGCTTCACGCTTTGGAAGGAAACCTTTGGCATCAGATCCAACATAGTGTGACAGTTGAGCAAGAAGAGCACGGGAATGATGACTGGCCCAGCTCCTGTAAAGCATGCTCAAAATGATGATGGGTCGAAACTGATGAGTCTCCTCAGCATTGAGGCATTTGGGGAGAGGAAGACCAAAACCTCGCAGGATCTGAGCAGGCCACTGCCCCGTACATTCAATCTTGCCAAACATGGCAACCAGGCTTTCCTTGAAGCGAGGAGGCATACGGCACAGATCATTGTGATCAAAGCCATCAGGCCCTCGAGCCGACCGATCTGTGTAGCGTTGGTTAATGGCGTCCCAAGCAGCCACAGAGATCTGAGAAACTCGAAGAGGCGGAGCTGGTACAAAGTGTTTGGTGAATGCCAAGATCCGGTGCCATGCCTCCGGAGGCACGTGAGCATGTCGTTGCCAACGTTCCCGCCAGAATTGCGATAGTTCACGCAGCATGTCAGCCGTGTGCACAGAGTGGATTTTCTGGCAAATCTCCTGTCCTGGGCACAACAGAAGGTCAGCGTGAACTCGCAAAGTATGATCATCCAACCGCTCAACAGTAGCCGGGCAATCATCAAGAAACCACGTCGATGAGGTAGAAGCAGTCATGGGCCGATCAACATGAACCAGGCAAGAGGATGGCTCAACTTCCAGAATCTCAGCTTTTTCAAAGCGCGAGAGGTGCTGCATAGGAGGACCCCTATCAGTGCGAACAACTGAAAAGGCCAGCCGGGTGTTCTCCTGGTATTTCAGACGTAGTGCCCTTTGTCGATTGCGATAGTGCCAGGATTCCAGTGACTGGTAGTTGGCCTGAAAGTCAAGGAAGATGTTGTGCATGATGTCAGCGGAAGGACACAACAGGGGCAAAGTCGTAGGCGATGATTGAAGAACAATGGGGCGACAAGTCCACCAATCAGCAAAGGTGCCATCAAAACCTTTGGCCTTCCAGACAGCACGCCAAGTGAGGATACGATATTCCACCGCACCAGCACTGGGACTCATAGCACGTAAGTTGTGCAAGAGAGATTGGATTCGTCTGAGCTGCTGGAACCAACGGATCATCTGCCGATTCAAGAAGTCAGTGGCGGGCGTGACTTCACCTTCACGAGAACGCTTCAAAACAGGCATTTGTACATCTCGCCACTGTGGCTCCAATGTCTGTCCACGACCACGACAATGGGTAGGCAGGTGAAGTCTCTGAGAGGCCAAGCCCGCAGCAAAACTCCGTTCATATGCACTACCAAAGTCCTGGTAGAAGTGGGTGATGTCCTCATAGCCATCAGGAGAAGGAGCTGGTGTGGAATCCATCGTCCATTCATGTAGTGAAATGTCAACCCACGGCAAGGGCAGTGGCATGGGCCACCATTGATATCGAAGCGGGACTTCCGGCAGGTTGAACCGAACTTCCAGGACAGAGTGATCAACAAAGGAATGGTGAAGCTGCGCAGTCTGAAAATGATGAGCTAGCTCAGGAGAAAGGTATATGCGATCAGGCCTCGTCTTGGCCTTGCAGGTATGCTCCGGAAGCTCACCAGTGTGGTGCATGCGTAGATCCTGAGCCTCAATCCAACCTTCCTGCAACCACAACGAAATATCAGGATAGTCTGCTGGAGTGCCATTGAAGTCGCCAGAGATGTAGCGTGGTCCACTAGCACCATAGACCAGTGGGACTGGGGGACAAAAGTCGTCAATGTCACGAAGTGGTGTTGGTGCAGCCCACGGAGTCTTTGACGAACGTGTCGCCGCCAACCCAGTGAGAAAAACGTCCAACTGCAACGGTGCCTTGGGCGGATGCGGCTTGACGTATAAAAACGGATGCGGCGCGTGAAAATCGCGAACTCAGGACCACACACCAACAGCAAACAGTGATAGGAGCTATTAAAGGCCATTCTTGTTGTGAACAACAACCGGCACCTGGAAATGTAAAGGAACGCCGAAAGCAATCAAAGCACAAAGTACAACGCAAGGAAAACAAACAAAAATACTGGTTCAACGAAATGCGAGTAGAATAATTAAGGTAGACAAAGGCGGCCTGCGCTTGCACAAATCGTTCAGCGTGGGCTGATGCAGCTCCACAACTCATATGTCATATGCACAGACGGCTTGATGACGGTGGCGTTTGACGAACTGACGTCCGAAGGTCTTGATTTCCTGACCGTTTTGGCGCCTTTGCCAGCGGTGGAAGGCCACGAGGACCCACGGCTTTTCCTTCTGCCACCCGGTCGCGATCTCGGTGCGGGCCCAAGAAGAACTAACTCCATGAGGTTGTGGCGTTGCACTATTCCTGTGAACTTCTATATAATAAACCTCTCTTGAGCTGGAACTGTTGCTTATAAGCATGACTCTTCGAACCTCTGGACTCTGAGCCGGGAAAACTATGTTTAAAAGGCTAAAGGTTGCCCACTGAAGGGGTAAGCTACTTAAGCAAGACCCCCAGCGAAAGTTATACTTGACTTTGCATATTACTTTACTTAAGCAAGGTCCCAGAAAGTCATCCAAGAAACATCACAGCACCAAAGCAATTCACCCAAGAGCCCAGCACTAGCACCAAAGCAAGGTCCCAGCAATGCTAGCGTAGCAGCACTTCTACACAACCATGCCTGCAAGCTGCACTAAATGTATTGACGCAGATGTATTACGCGAAAGATGTCTACAAAAGAACCCTTCCCAACGCTCCCGGGAGTATGAACAACATTGAACAACCGTTTAAAAGACTGGTGCGTGCGGTCTCCGGAAGGGACTGGAAAAAGCTGTTTATGAGCCAGGCACTGAAATGCCATTGTTGAAAAGGATGATGTCTGCAAAATCCTGCGGTTCTGCAGAGTTCAATGAAAAACAACATGTCCCTAAATGCGCCAACATCACTTTGGGGAACCGTTTCGATCTTTCTGTCTGCAGCTGTTCCACAAAGAAAATGGAAAATAGGTGTTTCACCACCAGTCACCAGTGGAGGAGCGTAGGATGTCGAACGGCAGCAGCATGCTCAAACATGTCGCTTTAAGGCATGTGTTTAAAACGGTGACAATCTCAACATGTTGGATACCGGGCTCTTACGGCTTCCCCTCTCTACCATCAAATCATGCCAGCACCAAGCCACTGGAGCAAGTTCGAAGTTTCATTGCCAACTGGCAAGCTTAGCTATTAATTAAGTTGGAGGCCATCACAAAAGAAACGTCTCCAATGAGTCTCCTTCCACTCCAAGGTGTCGATCAAGGCCTTGGCTGCCTGCTTTGCCTTCACGTAGCGTCCCGCGGTTTGCATGGAACCGCTGACGTCGATGACGATGACCACGTCCTTGGGCCCTGTAGAGCCTGAGGAGTACCTGGTAGAAAGGGTTGGGAAGAGCCGAAAGGGTAGAAGGACTACTCTCAAAACAAAGGCCTCTTCAGTTTCCGCAACACAACAAAGCAAAATCGGATGCAAATTCCTTTGTTTCTTGAGGGGGAGCACCTTTTGATGTTCAAAACAATGAAGCCGGGCAAACCGAAATCTAAATGGTCTAGATGTAAACTTAACCAACCAGTCCTTGCCAAAACGAATCCAACCTAATGCAAAGTTCAACAGATTGAAGCTAAGCCGCTTCAAACTAACATCCACCCCCTCACTGGCAAGTTTGACTTTGTGCCAGATTCAACAGTGACAGGGATTCTGTTCAGAACTGTGGCCAAGTTCGGGGTGGCTAGTAACTAGTGTTGAACCCGCTTGTTTGTCGTCTACATGAACGTGCTGCCGTGAGAATCCATAGGCAGCTGAGTAGGCTACTCGTTCAGACCTTGCCGCAACACCTCCCCTCAGATGCCTTCCTGCTTGGGATGTCGCTAGAGTTGCTTCAAGTAGTAGCGTCCTTGCTCCTAGTAGTAAGGCCAGGAGCCCTAGTAGCGTCCTTGCTCCTAGTAGCGATGCCAGGAGCCCCTAGTAGCCTCCTTGCTCCTAGTAGCGATGCCAGGAGGCCCTAGTAGCTTCTTGTTCCTCTAGAGTCTCTAGAGGTGCAATCCCTAAACTGTTTGGTCAAAGACGCCACAGCACCAATCGCACGGACGCAACTTCACAACCAAGTGGCCACGGACGCAAACGTGGGTCGTAGTCATCTGCCTGACACCACTCCACAGCCGGCCATCCCAAATAGCTTCCGCTGGCATGATCTGAAAAATAGATGTAGCCCACACGCTCCATGGGTTCCCCCTCCTGGAAAGAACATGAAAGAACTCAATGAACCACTCAAACATAGTGGCGTATCAAGGCAAGATCAAGAGTGGTGCATCGTCGCTCAAGACACCAGTGTCCAGTGTCCAACGAATTGGTGTGCAGCGGGGAACAATTGAAAATTGATGAAATTTGATGTCTGTTGATGTCCTTTGATGTCTTTTGATGTATTCACCCCACTCAGGAGATCCCCCTTATCAGCTTCAAGTGCTGTCCTTGGCTGCCACATTCATATAGCTCTGGGAGACCGGCCGTGCCAGGCACCCGAAGCTGTCATCTGGATCCAGGAGGTCAAAGAAGCATCTTGTTAAACCCGTTAATTTGTTGGGTCCATGCATTGGGTCCAAGCTTTTTTGAATAGTGGCAGCTTTCCAAATGCGTCGGGGATTGAGATTGGATTTCTATAGAGACTGCAGCCATCTGCCTCAATGCACCTGAGGTTGTGGAGGCATAGTTATTGAAAAACTGGTCAAGAATCGGGTCTTGTGTTTGTCACATTAGAGGCACTGCACAACTGTTCTATAAGGCCTCTGGCATTCACCCCCACACTGCTGAAGTCTGTCTTCATCTTCCAAATGTTGCTCTGATGGGAGCATTCCAAACACGGACCTTACGGCAGCCAAAGGCTCATGAAGAGACGGAAACACCCAAGCTCTGTCTACACTCCGAACGAACAAGGCACGAAAGCACGTGACTCAACCATGAATGAGGCTACAAGAAGTGAGAGGCTGCTTGTGGCCAAGAGAAACATAAGCTTTAGTGCAGATTTTGCAGGACTTGAAACTTGAAACAAATCTGTTCTGGAACACCTGACCAAATGTGGAACTCTGACCAGAGCACCCTGGAGGGTGCTCCGCCTGCATTGAGGCTGCCCCGTTTGATTCATGTTGTGATTCGAGAATTGTTCGACAAGATTCAACAAGCCCATTTTGAAATGCCAAGGATTGCCAAGCTGCATTGATCCTTAAACTCGCAGCCCCGAACTTGGCTCAACACGCTTTGCCTCTGGCAGCAAGGAAGCAAAGCGAACTCTGCTGTGGCATGACAAATGTGCATGGTCTCGTGATCTTTGTCTTAAGCAACCCTCCAACCAAATGCACGCATGACATATGCACACATCTCCAGCAATACTTGCACATCAAATCCTAACGCCTCCATCAAAACTCCCAATTGGATGCGTGCGAGTCCAAAACAAAGGGGCCGATCCCCTTGCAGAACCAGTGAATCTAAAGCCAAATCCAGGGCCCAGTGCTTCCAAGTCGCTCGGTCTCCACTCGGTCTCGAGTGCTCCACAAGTATCCCAGCACAACGTCCAGCAGCTCAGTTACTTCACTCGCTGCAGAAGCGGCGTTGCTCTGAATCCACGTGTTGAACCTGGGCTGGCAACTTAGGCATACTGGCACTCGACAGAGGCCTAGCTCCAAGTACATCTCAGTACACTCCGCGGTATGAACTTGGCAACAACTTGGCAATCATGGCATCGACATGCATCTTTTAGGGAGTAGAGAAAACTCCTCGGCTGGGTCTGGTCCTTGCGACGAATTTGCAAAAAGAAGAAAAAGAAGATCACTCGCGTCACTCTGCTACCAAGTTGAAGAGGATCCGCTTTGGAAGCATTGTGCCTTGACCCACGTGTCACCACGAATGTCACCATCTGCAGAGACCAACGTGCCACAGAACCCTCGCCACAAGTCTGTCCTCGGTCGGCGCCATGGCACTGATTCGACTCTCCACAGGTCTGGTAGCTGTAGTAGGTGTCGGAATTCTCGAACAGCTGACTTCGGTATGGAACTGCCTCATGACACAGGGCGTTTCAAACAAGGAGTCAGTGTGCATGTTTGTTGCCCAAATGGAAACAAGTCCCGGAATTCTACCTTAAAATCGCCCAAACATACCCAAATATGTTGACATGTGCTGGAAAAGAACAACAAGACCATTGTGGTAGCCGGGCCACACCGGTGCATGCGCTCTTGTCCACATAGCACCATTTTTGCGCACACCAAGCAGGGGGTGATTCAACATGACCTTGGATATCAACTCAGCTGCAAAGTCAGGAATAGATGCGTGCCACAACATTGGTGCAATGGATCTCTGCTATTGCCAGAAGCGACGCCTGTACACATATATGCTGCACATGCTGCTATAAATCTATCCAAAAATATCCAAAGCATGAACTGAGGAATGAAGGCTGTGCACCATTGTGCACCCTACACAATGGGGTTCGAATGCAGCTGTGATGACTCGACAGCCAAGCTGCAGAAGGGCTGTAGACCCTGGTCATGTGCCTCCAACAATGATTCACACCTTCACTCCACTATCACCTCTATGACAGCTCTGTTTTCACCTTGCTTCTTACCAAGCCGAATCATGAAATTATGTGCCGTGCTCAGCAACTTTCTGACCTTCGTCTTCGTTTTATTGAAAAACGTTTGTGGTTCATGGCACACGGCCGACAGGTGCCTTGCACTCCAAGTTCCCATAGTTCAGGGGATAGTCGTATCCAGTGCTCTGCCCTTTGGGCGTATACCGAATCCTCAGGGTCCGTATGCATATATATATAGTATATATATATATAGTATATATGCATTTGTTTGCAATGCAAAAACTGATGTATCTGTCTTTTGGGGTGCTCGACTGAGGAGTCTTTGTATGTCTTTGTCCTGGATACAAAGAAACTGCACAGCTTTTGGTTGTAGAATGCATTCAACCGCAGGATCTCACCACTATCGCGAGCTAGCTGCTAGCTATGCACAAAGACAAAGGGACAGAAGGCAAACGACGCAGAATGCAGCTGTACAATGTTTACAATTGAACCCCAAATCCAAAAATGCTTCACCAAGATGCACATCCCCAACGCGATAGTTTTCCAGATTGGCCCATTCTGTACAAGGACACGTAGGCATCCCAGTGGGCGATACATCTGATGATGCCAGCCATGGCAGCGCCCATGGCACCAGAAATCTCAACATAGCAAGGAGATGTGCATGACCAAGTCATGACCAGACCAGAAGAGAAACTGTCGTGGAGGTCATCACCATTAGGTTGGAGGCCATCGCTACTAGGGTGGAGGCCACTGCCTTTAGGGTGCTCTTTCCAACTTTGCGAACCACTGAGCCAAAACGTGACGGACATTCTGTGAATTCCATTTGGTGAGTCACCTGTTGCCATTTGGAGCCAAGACTATGTATGCGTATAGTGTATATGTATATATGTATTATATATCAAGTCTCACCTCCGATGATCTACCATGTGCTCATCGTCAGCTCATTTCTATTTTATGTATTCCTCTCTCAACGCGCCGAGGGTTGTGTGAAGGTGGGATGTTGGACTTAGGCAAAGGATACCCTGAAGCATAGCCATGAACCATGAAGCATACCCCACGTGCAAACATCCTGGCTGGCGAACGTTAAAAAGAGACATACAAATATCCTTTCGGTAGGGTATTTGAGAGCAGACCCTTGCCGTCCAATCAAAAAAAAATACGTAGATGGAATAGGAGATATATGATCCGTTTGGTAGGTGAGGGTGAACCTAGTAGCATCCAAGGGTGGTTTGCGCAAGTCGAACTGGATGGGCACTCCAGTGGTCAGGGAGATGGCAAGACTACTGTCTATTCCAAAAATTGAAGAAAGGAAAGGAAAGTCCTGTCTAAATGTCAAAAGAAGCACTTAAATGTTAAACAATAAGAGGATGAGAAAACGGTTTAATGAGATTGCTTGGAAGCGCCAGTCCTACTTCCAGCCCCAGGGTGGAGCCAAGTCCCCTGCGCGATTTCGTCGTGCTTCGTCCCATTTCACCTTAGGCAACAAACCGGAGGATCAAAATGCTCAAGATCAGATGCGGTAGCTTGAGAACTCACTGTCGTTTATGGCTGCAGGCCTTCTCTTAATATGCATTACATGTGTACATACATAGATGTTGATATAGTTATATATACAATTATATACGTGTATCATATATATATATGGCATTTCTGTCGTCAACGGGCATGCTGCCCTTCAGTCAGTTACAAGCTTTAACAACTCTGAAGCCGGCTTTTGAATCCAACAAAGAGGATTCAGCAACAATCTCTAAGACGATTAAGTTGGCAACGGGTTCGCTGCATTCAAATCGAATCCTGGTCAATGAAACCCACGTCTGTGGCCACCAGGCCGCGGATGCACTCAACTACGCTCTCCAAATACCAGGAGGAGCACGTAGGCAGTATGGAGAGCCAAGTGGTCAGACGGAGGTCCTGCCTGACTCGTCGGCAGCTCTTTTCGAGAGATCTATAGAAAGAAAGAGTTTGGAATGTAGGGGCTTAGCCAGCTTAGCCCATCCACAAACAAGAACAACCTATACTTATACAAGTGTTTGGTTGTGTTCACATTTTTGTCCAAGGGTTTCAAACCGACCCCCTTGTCATGAAGGTGACAAATCAAACAAAGCCTTCATTCGACAGGCCTTCGGAAGCAGCTCAGCGCAGTGCACTGCCCTGGCAGGAGGTAAGCAACTGATAGTAGTCGAATAGACCGAATGAAAACTAATAGCAAGGGCATCTAACCTGATAGCGATGGCCTCCAACTTAATAGCAATGGCCTCCACCTAAAAGACCCACATGGATGAATCCGGCACGCTTTCGTCTGAATGTCACAATCAGATGACAAGACACCTACCAAGCGAAAAAAATGCAGCGTTGGGCATGGCACGTCAAGTTCAGAGATGTCATGATTTGCAAGGACACTGGTTTGTTGAGAGCTGGTTTTTGAGCAACCAAGTCAACATGAGCCATACAGTGGCTTCAGAGTAGATTGCAAATGGGAGTCCTTGTGAACCATCGGCTTGTAACCCCCGCATGCGAAACCCAAACCTTCATCCCAGTTCCTTTTTAGACACCTCGCTTGCGCGCGTTTGCTCTCCGAAAAAGGAGAAGCCAACCTTGGAGCACAAGGCATGTGTGCATGGCATGAGGTTCGCTCTGTATGAACCTTGCCAAGACGTGTAAACATTACATCAACACTGCCTCTCGATGGTTTGACACTCGATATCTCTTTTAAAGTTGCCAGCATCTTTGAAATACGCTGGCCTGAAGCCATCTGTTTGCGTCAAAAGGGCGACAGCGTCAATCACAGAATCAAAGCGGTGCTCCTTCAAAGCTGACCTGTGACCTGTGTTTGCCGCACATTCATGTGGTACACCCAACTTCGCCAAGGCTGCGGCGGAGATCTGTGAGTCAGGGTGGCTGCAACTGTCCAAACCTGGGATCTGGCACTAGGCAGGAAAGCCGCGAGACAGGACAACCTAGCAGACTTGTTTGAAACGTCCGACAACACCCATGACATAGGAAGGGACAAAAGGGAGGCTTGGGCCTGGATGATCCATAAGATTGAACATGAACCTGCACTCAAACACCATCCAGCTACAATACTCTGGATGACAAAACTGATTAATAAAGCCTTAAGCCTTGGTCCATCATTGGGCGCTTCGTCAGAAATGTCAAAGACGCCAAGATACCGCCTCAACTCCGCCGAACAGTGCGGAGTATAGGACCATCCTAAGGGCAAGCGGGCCGACTCTTGCAAGTTGGCAGGTCTCATCAGTAAGTCACGTCGATTGAATGTTCCTCCATGTGGGAAGCAGAGGGTCTTCACTTGAGGCCTCTCACTCGACATAACGCGAAGCTGGTAACTAACTTCTGGAATAGCTACTTTTCTGAGGGCAACAAATTCCATATTTGCCAAGTGACTTGCCCAGTCGCACATCACAGGGCAAGCGAGCAAGACATTGACCTCAAGTCTCACAGAATGCCCAGCTTCCAAACTATTTGAGCCTGACAGTAACTTTGAATCAGGTTAGTCATTTGAGTCCTTTACCGGTATATCTTGTGCCTTGGCCTGAGCCTATTTGTGTCCCGGTCTCTGCTTCCATGCTTTTTCCTTTCCCATTTTCACGTTTCCCGTCTCACTGGCCGCTCGCTCTTTTTCACTCCCTCGGCTTCTTAGAAGTCTTCACCGGTGACACCTCCGTGGCCTTAAGCCACTGTCCTCCACCCTTGCAATTGTCTAATTGCACTCTCACGCGCCAGAGGGTGCGGTCCCACTTGATCTCGGCGACCGTCCCTTGCCATTCGCCGCCTGCATCCTTGGAGTTGCTTAGGGGGCCGGGCGAAGTACAAAATCTTCACTATAGAAGGGGGCTTGCCCATACTTGGGGAAAGTAGAAAGTCACCTGAAGCAACACCACGCCGCGCTCTCGAGCCCAAAGTCTGAGAGATCCCACCGCCACCGGACTCGTTGCATCGTCGAGGCCGGGCACGGCAGGATCTTCTCACCTCCCCGCGCCCACTTTTTTCCCATGGCTCCAGTGGGGAGGTGCTGGGATTTCGGCTGGGCTTAGAGGACTTGAGCCGCAAGCTACAGCGACAGTGAAGGTAGCACAAGCGTCACTACCAAAGACCCTGTGCAAGTCAACTGATGGCCAACCCTAGCCAGTGAACTTGACCTTGAAACCTTTTGCCTTCATGCACTGACATTGGTGTTGTACTTGAAACAGCCATCATAATTGATTGCTCTTGCTGTAGCAGCGTTCCATTTTCGTTAAGGTAACATGTGCGATGCCTGTTGTACTCAAGTCAAGTCTGGAAACAAAAACGCGAATAAAACTGTGAGACAACAAGAAACGGCAAGTCCATATCTGAGCATCCCAACCCACAGGTGTGATCACGTACCTCATTCTTCCAGCATCATGGAAAAGGAGGCTTGTTTGTTTTTTGCACGAAATGTGCAACGACACAAGGATTCTTGTTTGCTGCCTGAAACCTCTTGAAAAACACCTTGAAATGGTCACATTCTTATTTTTAGTGCTGCTTTCCCTCTCGCAAAGCTTGTGTCCCGATGTTGGCTACGGACCCTGAGCAAGCTTGCCAGCAGGTTGACCAGCAAGCAGCAGCTGAACCAATCAACTATTTCACAAATCAGCAAGATCTGGACATGGCTCAAGAATAGGATATATATTGTCCAAAAGCACAGTGAAAAGAAATGTAGAATAATCTCTGTCCATCCACGTCCGTGAGTCTTATCTTTTGAGCCACATCCATCTGGCTATGTCTCCGCGCCATGTCTCTTCTTCTTCTCTGCTCCACCGCACTGCATCTGCTGGTCTAACCTTGGAAGATGTGATGCGAGGCATGCCATAGCTTTTGCATGCTTTTGCAGAACTTTGCCTCCAAGTTGTCCTAGCAGTTCCCCAAAACAATCAGGTTCCAAGGCAGGAGAGAACTTCAGTGCCGAGCCGATGTATATATTAATACAGTAATTAACGTAACATGTTTCTCGCATGGTGCTTCACAGTCTGCCAAAAAACGAAACTTGGATGTTGAAAGGCTTGTAAAAATGGAAAAGGGACCTGCTGCACCTCTTCCGAAACCTCTTCTCATGCTCTTCGAGGAGGCTGACCGAATCACTCCACCAGGTCAATTGCCACCCTCACCCGGCCGCCCGGCTCCCTCTTCCACCGCCCCGGTGGCCCGCAAGGTGGTCACCGCCTGCCAAGCGAGCCAAGCGAACCGGAAGACATGACATGCTAAAACAACAACCGACCGATGCTACCGGTAAATTATCTGCAAGTGACAGGAAGCTACTGATGTTTACTCGTCGGTGGTCTTGGAGAGATGGACTTCTTGGGGACTATGGGAGTTCCTACAGCTTGAACAGGGCAAAGTTCATCGTTCCTATGATCTCTTATGATTCCAGCCACAAGTTCAAGGGCAACATTCAAGAACTTCGCCATTGGATGTGCAGGGCTTCGTTGACTGTCGGCATGGCTTGTGGTAACGGAAGGTGCTTCAGTCTCCAAGAATACCTAGGTCGCATTCTCGCATCATCACAGGCAATTGTTGCTATGACTTCCGTACCCAAGAAGCTCACCTGATCCACACGGGACTTGGGCGGTGGGTCCAGGGCTTCCGAGAAACAGCTGGGCTGCAAGCCCGAGCTCAAGACCTAAAATTCGCCGCTTTTGGCCAGTCGTTTCGGAAGCTCTTAGGTTGGAGGCCATTGCTTCTAGGTTGGAGGCCATCGCTTGTTGGAACAGCTTCTGCAATCAGAGGAATGCTTTTAGCACAATCCTGGTAGAATATGAGTGGTGAGTGTCTTCACTCATGACTCTGAGATTCTCCGCTTTTGAAATGGGGGTCCCTTCACGCTGCATGATGACACCTAGCAGCCGTTCCAGTGTGTTGAATTAGGTATGTCTATATGTATATATATATATATGTATTTATATATATATATCTATACGGTGTATGGTGTATATATGAATGTAGTTAATTATACAAATATATCTGTGTGTGTGTGTGCGTGTGAGACCAATGTGCGACTGTCATTTGATGCGCGCTGCAGTTATAACACAAGAAGAAAGGAGTGCAACTACGAGTCTGACAAGTTGATGACTCGCACGGCGTGGGGAGGTCGCTTAATGAGGGCAGCTTTGATGTGCACACGACCAGAGTACACTTCCCGGCACAGGTTTCCCACCTAGAGGGGAGGCGAAAAGATTGGGAAAACCATGGAAAACCATGACAAACCAAAACACCATCTAAGTACAGTACTTTCATTCAATCTTGGATAGGCTGGGTAGGGACCCACAGCAACAGGGAAAGTTAGTGCTTGGAACAATATGCAGGAATCAATCTAGCACTTCAATAAATGGTTTGGTGAGACCAGCACCTTCTTCCTAAAGCTCCTTTTCTTGAGGTCATCACTGACAGCATTAACTCCATGAGCGAGCACCTCAAAATCTCAGGCGTTGGCATTGCCTGACGCACGAAACCGCTGGGGCGAAAGCGTGGGGCAACCAAGAAGCAAAATAACATCATGGCAATGGCAACGCAGAACATTTGAAGCAGAGTTCCCCGCATGCTCTACACGTGTATAAGACATGATACAAGTGGCTTGGTTTGCAAAACATGCCATGGCGCAGATTGAAACGCATGCATCGGTTGAGAAGGGGTCAAGAGTCAAGACGCAACGCAATTGCAGGTATCAATGATCATGTAATGCGAGCTCAACTTCTTGCGGCGCCCGAAGGGCATCATACCTCTGTCTCCAACATCCCTCGGCATCAGTTCTGGAGGCCAACGGTCCTTGCCTGAAGTCTCAACTGGAAACGGTTCTGGGTCAGCAAAGTAAATCCTCAGCGAGGCAGAAACAAAGGAGACAACATGAGAGGCACATGTCAAACCTTGGCTTCTTGCGAAAAAGGAATCTCTGTCAATGATTTGAGACCCAACTACAAGTACTGTGAACGCCCAGGTCAATTGTTCTTCTCCACTCAACGTCGTTGTATCCCGCGAAAGTCACAAACCTACTCAGTTTGAAACCATGGAAGTGGGATGAAGTGGGCAACATCAAGCCAATCAGGATTCCTTTCTTCCCTTTCCATCATGTTCTCTCCCTTTTCAGGTGGACCTAGATGTCTTCCAATCAGGCCCCGGCCAAAGCCTTTTTGAACTCGCCCGGCACGACCTTTGCGTTGCATCACCTGTGGAAAATGGGGCAGAGTCGTCCATCCAAAGGAGGCAACCAAAGCAGGATTGTTTCTTTTTTAAGGCCGCTCTGCCCTCCACTCTACTAGCCATGGCCTCCACCCTACTAGCGATGGCCTCCAACCGAATAGCAATCTAGAAGCAATAGAGGAATGTTATGTTCGCCGGACCCAGGCAAACTCTGAGAGTCTTGAAAATAAGAAAAAATGCAAAACAAAAGCACAAAAGACACATGAAAAAACAAAAGCGAAGAAAAAAAAGGACATCCAAAAAGCAAAAAGAAGCAAATGAAAAAGCAAAAGCAAAAAACAAGCAAATCCAAAGAGCAAAAAAAAGCAAATGAAAAATTAAAAGCAAAAAAGAACAAAAACAACTCATAGCAAATCCAAAAAGCAAAAAAACAAATGAAAAAGCAAATGGTGTCCTATTTTTTTTGCTTTTGGGGGGTGTCCTTTTCTTCGTTTTTCTTTTCCATATGTGTTTTCGCATGTTTATGTTGTTGTTCAGCTTTTTTGTCGCATTCTGTTTGCCTTTTGTTGTTTCGCTTGTTTTTCGCTCTTTTTCCGCTTTGTTTTCGCACTGTTTTTTTCCGCTGGTTCGTTTTGGCGCCTTTCGGGGACGTTTTTGATTGCTCTATTTTGGCTTTTGCTTTTTCATTTGCTTTCTTTTTAGCTTTTTGGATTTGCTTGCTTTTTGCTTTTGCTTTTTCATTTGTCTTTTTTGCGTTTGCTGTTTGCTTTTTCATTTCTTGTTGTTGCTTTTTGGCTTTGATTTTTTGCCTTTGCTTTTCCGTTTGTTGTTTCTGCTGTTTGGATTTGCTTTGTTTTGCTTTTGCATGTTGTAGTTGTTGTTTTTTGCTTTTTTGTTCTCTTGCAAAACGATCAGAGATATGGTAAGTGGTTGACATAAGAGGAATGACTTCAAGAACTCATTGAGAGGACTAGTATGCTGGAGACAAGCCATCTCGCGAGTTGCAGGTGTGACGCCATGCATGAATTACGATCGACATGGCCTCTGCTTTTGAGATGAACTGCTCTTTCAAGGATGAAGTGTTGGAAGGCTCGTGATATCTTTGACCTCTGATTGTCGGAGCTGGTAAAACAAACTCTCGTCAACAACTCTCCAGCTGCATGCCGATATTGGATGCTAAACTAATATGATTCCGACAATGCCTCACATGTTGCAACTGATTGCTTAAGGCGTCAAAGCGAAAGTTTCTCCAATAGAAGTTGGGCCTCACTCAACAACAAGTGCTTAGCCATAGCCGAAAGTAGGGCAGGGACATACCCCACACTATCCAAGAGCGTTCCTAAAAGCAATCTCGATTCCAAAAGCACCAACATGCAACGATGCTCTCACCAAATGTTTTGTCCTCTGAACAACATCTAAGAACTTGATAGGAAATATTGAACTGCGTGGGTATTCTTTTCCTAATGTCCGCACTGCCACAAGCTTCCAAAGTCTCTGAGTTCTTCTAGTAGAGAGAGAGAGAGGGAAAAAAAGAATCCTAATAGCGATGGCCTCCAACCTAAGAGCGATGGCCTCCAACCTAGTTGCTGATCAGAGCGGCATTTCACTTTTCCGGAGTCAACCACAAAGACCACGTCCGGAATCGTCACACCGGTCTCGGCAATGTTGGTGCCTGGAATGGCTTGCGTTTGCAAGAGGACAGGTTGAACTGAAATGGAGTTCTGCGATTTTGTTCATCGTCGCCGCTTTTGTTGACCTAACCTCATCTTAGAGTGGCTGTGGAACCACTGTCTTTCTCAGAAAGTCTCATAGCAACCCAACAGGGCCAACACCCAAGTTTCGCACTTAGGACGATCTTCCGCACACCTTTCCGTGGAGCATCAAAGACCTGACGTGGTCAGAGACCAGAGCAAGCAACTTACATCTCAGTCAAGCTGCCGGTGCAAATGATCACTTCATGAGTCCCAACTTCAAGAAGCAATTAGTAACAAAGGGCATCGTTACTAGGAGCCAGAAGCTACTAGTAGCTTGTGGCCTTACTAATTACTAGTAGCAAGAAGCTACTAGGTGGAGGCCATGGCCATTACGCAAATGATCACTTCATGACTCCCAACTTCATTTGGAGCTTCTGTTTGGACCCCTTTCGTTTCTTTCGCCGCCTTGGCGTGATCCTCGCCACTCAGCATGCTATGGAGTGTCAACACAAGACCTAACAGTTCGACGAGGCCATGGTCATTGACATGGTAGATGAAGAACCCACCGTACACCAATCAGTTCAGTTTGGAGGTGGTCATATGGAACCCCTCTGTCTCCTCTAAATCAGCCTTGCCTATCACTCAGAGCTGTCAAGTCTGTCAAGCTGGTTGTCCAGCTATGTGTACAAGGGGTCAAGCTGCAGCTAGCTCAGATGAACATCTGGATCTTTGGGTAAAGATTTAAGCGCAAATGTGAAATAAGAGTGTAGCTCCCTGGTTGGGTGCCGAAAAGTGTGCACGGCCATGTGACCTCTCCACCAATCAATATCGATGGGGTATCAAAGCACTGCGCAACACCGCTGAAGATGCACCAAGGGGCAGGAACTGGGATCGCTGAAGAGGGGATTTCCTCTCAAGCGTTCATGCATCTTGGTGATCTCCATCATGCCCGGCCTAGGTGCGGAAGGCTCCCGGCCTGAAATGGTTGAATCTGCTTGCTTGGCCGCCCAAAAAGCTGCAACATGCTAGACCCCTCAAAGGTGCCAATCCAATCGAATCCCTGAATTATCATGAATTATAACAAAAGCTACTAGTAGCAAGAAGCTAGTAGGTTGGAGGCCGTCGCTAGTAGGTTGGAGGCCATCGCTACTAGTGACAAGGGCATTATCAATAATTATCACGTCCATTGAGTAGTGTGGCCACAGCCACAGGGATCTGGCACATTCAGAATACAATATCCTCTCAGCTTTCCTGAAATGTCGTTCTCTCTCCTTAGTGTTCTAAAAGTTTGCCACTCACTAACCGAAGCAACACACCTCTAGAGTGATCCTCCCAAGATCCCTTCACCCAGCAAGGCTTTGGCAAAAAGACTAAAATCGCCCCCTGGTCTCGCGGAACGTGGGCAAACTGGTCAGATCCCTGGCAGGTGTATCGCTGATGGCAGCGTCGGACCGGATAGGAAGGGGAAGAGAAAGGGGAAGTATTGGGAAACGCTGTCTTCACGTCACAAGCCCTCATCTTTGCAACGGTTCTTTCTAACGATCATGTAGGTAGCTTAGGCCACCTTTCGTCATGATCCAGCCACAGCTGCTGGCAACTCAGGATAGATTCCAAAGTCTGCCAGACAGAGTCTGCTGGTACAAACCCTATCAAACATGTAGCCTAAATGAGAATAGAGCAACTAGAGGAAATGCTGAATGATGGAGAATCAAGAATGCAGTCATGTGCTCGCAAGACTATCCAGTTGTGCAAGAATTCCTTCAGAAACGCTTGGAGAATCTTCAAGATGTATGTAGAGGTAGCCCTGCAAGAAATTGCTGCTTAATGCAAAAAAGTATAAATAGAGCATCATCAAATTATGTTCTTGGAGACTGCCTCGATGTATTCCAGCAAAAGCTCCAGGAGGTCGTAGTTAATGCGTGTGTGATCCTGTGGCACTTTCGTTGGCCGCAGCTGGGTCACAGAAATGAAAAGCCATGCTGTTTTCTCGTCAAGGCAAAGTTGCATGGATACCTGGGACGAGGTCAGCAACTACATGTAAAGACGTAGGTTGGACCTCTTGCCATATTTTATTCATGATGAGAATGACAAGTCAATCAGGGCGAGGTGGGCAACTATACATGAATTCAATAGACATGACTCGTACACCAAAGAAAAAATAACAAAATTGTACCAATACATGTCTACAATAACTGATAGCAATGAATCTTGCATGTTTACATACTCATCAACCGTCTGCGATCGTGACAAACAAAGCGCAAATCACTTGGACTCTGAAATCGATCTCCAAAAAACAAGCGCAGCGAAGTGGGGCCCAGGCCATGTAGGACAAAGCTCGCATCGTTTCAGCCTGCGTTGGTGTGAAAAGTGCTAGAGCCGTGTTTGGCTCACGTAGAGGTGGATCGTCTCAATCCACCAATGCGTGGCCATACCCGTCCCAGGATCTAGCTTGCGAAAGTGTGTAGCAAGCAACTTAAACTGCATGCAACAATTAAGAATCAGCCCGGACTATGTGTGGACACAAAAGCGCGTACCGTAGCTGCTAGCTCAGCTTCTGTCTGTGGAGGAATCCTTCCAATAACGATGCCTCGTAGCTCGCGTCACAGGTCTCTGCTTCATCGTCGCAGCCTATAGCACGTAGCATCTCGTAGCAGTGCGCCAAATCCATGGTCTAGTGGTGCGAATATTGGTAGCGCGAGAAATTCGAAACATAAAAGGCTTGCTTCCTACCCAGTGCCGGCTCCTTCATTCGGCTGCCAAAGACAGACTGGCCCGGCTGGTCCCGAATGAGTGCATACAGGATCAGAATGACAAGGAAAATCAGGTTTGCGCAGGCAAGGAGGAGACAGCTTGGGGCAAAGGTCTTTTCCGACCTGGACACAGAGTAATGAGGTTCGTGCACAAAAAGGCAGGCAGCGGACAGGCAAAAAGAAGATAGGCTAGGATTGGAAAGAATACGTGGCAGGAATGGTGTTTCTTGTCTTTAGGGCTGCGCCATCATGCGTAGTGTAATTAGTATAGTTGGGCACAACCCACGGAGGAAATCTCTCAACATCTCCTCTTTTGAGCACTCGAGCTCTACAAGCACAGGTCGTTGTCTGTAGTGTCTAGCCACATGAATTCTCCAAATGCGCTCACAACATCATCATGAAGCCAGCATCTAGGAAGACTGCAAGTGGTAAGGGAAGGATAAGAGACTACATGTCCATGGATCGTCTCCAGGCTTCGTTATACCCAGTTCCAAATAATCATCCCACTACAAGTTGAGCGGATTTGAAGACAGTCCAGAAGGCCATCGCTTCTGGCAAATGGAGTGGGTATTGATTCATACCAAACCATAAAAAGTTGCCGCTTGGTGCGGGGTTACGGTTATAGCCAATAGCACTGTGGTCGTGCCAATGGAAGCTGAGGCTAGTTGGCTCCCACAAAGCCCTTGCCATTGCAGGGATCAAAATATTGTGATAAGCAAGGCGTAAGGGCTGCCTGTGCAAAGTGACCCATACATCAAATGCAAATCCTTCATGTTGGGTTCATCGATGAACAACCTGCTTGTTGCCGGTTGCAGGTTCAATTTATTATTCCAATGCTCAGTACCAACTACAAAGTTGCAATTCAAACCAAAATCCCTCTCTCTCTCTCTCTCTTGACGGCCACAGTGACTAGGTGGGTGCACGTCTGGCAGACACCCAGTGATGCATACACGTTCACGCGAACTGGCGAACTGCCGGATGCGAAAACCACCTTTCCGACCGAAGCATGTTTCAACTTAGGTTTTGAAACTGAAACCTCTGAGTTCGGCAAAAGGATGTCATGTTGGAAACAAATCAGGGGTCATATCAAGCCATTTCGCCCCGGTCAGGCTTTGAAGCCCTGGTGCAATCAGCAAAGGCACTCAAGGATTCCAACATCATGAGCCAATTGTTTCCACGAACCGTACCTATTGGCCTAAGGTATCCTATATAAGAGGATTCTGGATGCCTTCGAACTCTGCTTTCCCGCTTTAAATGTGGGAGATCCTTGACCACCGCTGACTCTCGCCGGCCTAGACTAAGGTCTTTCTCAGTCAGCGGAGAATATTGGTGCAAAGGCTCACAATTGCTCCTGTGTTTGTTTCTCTCCTTGGTGAGCAAACTGCTGTCTCGGTGAAAAACGATCTGAAACGACGGATAGCCGGAGAGCGAAGAGTAAGCAAGGGTGTGCAACCAAGAAATGCCGTGCCCGCATGCACCAAGCATGGCAGCAAGTAATGCTGCACAGTTGAATCTAACGTTCCTCTGAGGGACCAAGGGACCACGACGAATCACCACTTTCTTCGGTGGTTGCTTGCAAAACGCAGCTTCTTTGGAATGTACTTGGTTTGGGGTGTAAAAAAGGAGCCCTTGTTCATGGTGGACCACAAGAGACCATTCGATGATGCCTCCTGTTTCCCACTTCATGGAATTCCATGGCAGAGATGATGCAGCCTGGCTGTTGGCACCAAGATTCCGACAGTCTGCGCTCCTGAAACCAGCTGATCCACTGGAATCGTCGACACAGGCTGCCCAACCACCATCGCCTACAGTTAGTTACACTGGAAAACATGTGGAAATCAGCCAAGAAAGATTACTACTAGTTACTAGGAGCAAGGACGCTACTAGGGGCTCCTGGCCTTACTACTAGGAGCAAGGACGCTACTAGGAGGAAAGGGCATCGGTACTAGGAGCAAGGACGCTACTAGGGGCGCAAAAGCAAGCTGAGCATCTTGGGGATCCCTTCGTCCCAAAGTTGGGCTGGCTTCCAAACTTGGGAAGTTTGCTAAGGGAAGCCACATGGCCAGCCTGAACCCCTCAGCCGAACCAAGGGGAAGTCCGGTTGTGTCGAGCTATCTTTTGTGACCATACCCATGTTGAGAGTTCTACCCAAGTTTAACGCAAAAGGTCAAGGCTTAACGTCATGTTGGTCGTTTTCCAGTGCTTCACCCTCTCTTTGCCATGCCACTGGTGGCGGTGATCCACTTAGTCCGCTTCGCAGGTTCACACCTCTTCGCATCAGCTGATATTTGCGAAGACCTGCACCTCACCAAGAGCGGTGTCTTGTGTTGTATCAGCAGAAAAAGACCTGCAATCATGGCTATCCGCTATCAACAAAACTACTCAAAATTGATCGTTCGGGGGCCTAAAGAGAAAGCTGGTACCCTGACGTGATATCAGGGTTGAACCGTACACGTTTGCAACGTTCCGAACTATTTAAGGTAGGGATAGGTGGGGTATGTGGTGTGATTGCTTTATGGGGCGGCCCTGCAGCCTATGTATGACAGGAGTCATCCCTTTCATCGAACTCACTTTCATGTACAATCAAAAGACTTTAAATTCAAATGTGCAGTGATGAATTACTATGTAGACATGATTTTACATTATATTAACTTGCTGCTGCTTCAATCCTTGTCCTCTTGTTTGACGACCCAAGATATCCCAAATGCAGCTCAGAGGCAAATGCCAGCAACAGCTAAGACCACCCACAGGATGTTCAGCAATCTCACCAGCCGATTGATCGACACGCGGCGCATGCCCTCCAGAGGTTGCCAAGGAAAGAACTGAATCACGGGCCCATCCAATAACAGGCTGCAAAACACATGTCCTGAGCTCGTCCGTTTTGCTAAACTGGTACTCCTGCGTACACCGCTGGATCGCCAAAAGAGAAAAATACTAAAAAAAGTAACAAGGGCATCGCTACTAGGAGCAAGGACGCTACTAGGGCTCCTGGCCTTACTACAGGGAGCAAGAAGCTACTAGGAGCAAAGAGCATCGCTACTAGAAACGGCCAGCGTGGCATGTCTGCGGTCCACGAGGCCACCAAAGGCGACAAATAAAGGATAATCCAGCAATCGAGGGTTCTTCAAGGAACCTCGCCGAAGGACCGGAAGCGTAACAAGAAGCGACTAGTAACAAGGTGCCTTACTACTAGTAGC